GGCGCGCGCTCCCGCGAGCACTGTTAGACGTGGCAGTTCACAAGAGCCCCTCCTGGGCGGGGAGAGAGAGAAAGCGCTTGCGGCTGGAAGCCGGCTTTTCCTCGCTCCTCGGGGACAAGCGCCCGGTGGGACTCCAATAAAAGCACCCCAGGACGAGAGCGCAGACGGGACCACGGGGGACCGGCCAGGTAAGGGGAATGCAGAGTGAAGACCTTTGACAGGTGTGCGGAGCGCATTGAGAGAGACCGAGAGATCAGCATCCTATTAGTTATGATCGCCTGGGAGCCACCAGCTCTGGTTGGGGTGCGTGATCGGAGCAGCTAGCAGCTACGATCAAGTTGCGGGGAGCATCCTATATAAAGGGGTATTAAGGAGCTGGAAGCATTTATGAATGAGCCAAGGAAGGAGTCGTAGGTCTATCCAGCCCCTGAGGGTCACCATAGACCGTTGATCCTTCTCTGATCACGATTGAACAGAGCGCCCCAACAACCATACGCAATAGGACTCTTGTGTAGCCTGGTGACTGACAAAATGTGCTCTAATGGCAAGGAGTATTCAGGTTTCCTGGTAAGATTAGGAGTCACAAAAATCATGATTCTACTGTGGTTTACATGTGTGCCACCTGTTTTAAAAAGTTTGGTTACTACGGTTTCAACTTGCGTTTCGGGAAAAAGAAAGCAAAGTGTAACTAACTCCTAACTAGGTTGCAAAGGTTTAGGATTTAGAAAGCCTTTAAAAATCATGACAGCTGATTAGAACAAAGATGGAACAGTTCATATGCCACTGAGGTGCCTGCAGGATTTCCTTCTCCCCTCCCCCATGTGGGTCTCAAGTGTGATGTTGGCAAAGTAGTTCCCTCACGGTTCTATCAGAAGCATACATCACAGGTTACTGTCATTGCAAAGAAAGCCTAAGGGCAATTGTGATGAATTTGAACATCTCTACACACTTAAATCAAGTTTGTTAGTACATTAAGATTGAATTAATAATCTCTTTAAAAAATCGATATGCCACAACAGTTGTATGCATCTTCCCTGGATATTTTTGAATCTTAGATAGGTAATTGCCATTTTATTTGTAATGATTTGGATCAATTTTGGGGTACATGCTGAAGAATCAGGGCACTGCAATATATAAAAATGATCACACACCTGATTAACTGTTTGCACAGGTCTCACCTGATTGATCTTTGGAAACTAAAATATGTTTTAAGTTGCTGTCACTCACCTCTTCATCTGATTTATTGCTTATATTTAAAGTTTCATCTGACATCACTTCAACTTTTATACTTCCTGTTGATTTAATCTGATTTGTTGATCTTCCTTTCTTGTTGCTTGGCATTTTGGCCTGTCCAACACTTGTAATTCGACATAAACTTGGATTGGGGAGGAGGTATAGCCTGTTCTAGGTGTATTAATTGAAGATCAGACAAGACTGCGTAGGGGTACTCTTGGATCTTGTGACGTTCCTGGAAGGTCAGGTAGTGATGGTGGCTAGGAACAATTCATTCAACTTCATTTGGTGGCTCACTTGCAGTCTTCCTTGGGAATGGATTCATGGGATTCATCCTTTACTAACCTCTCTTTTAGACTACTGTAATGCATTTTGGAGGTAGGATTCCTTTGCTATATGAAGTATGGTGGCTGGGCTTTGGTCAAGATAGTTTGTAATCTGCCTTATTTGCTAAAATTATCTTGCTACATCTTCCAGTTTGTTTCTCAGCACCAATCAAAGTGACCCAAAATGCCCAAACCAAGGTTTAGGAACCACTTTTAACTCAAAGGCTAAAATTAATTTCAGAGAAATTCTTAGGGGTCTCATTCTAGTGATAGCTTTTGGCTCAAGTCTCTCTGTGCAGGCAAGCTTGAGGAGAGGTATTTCAAACTTTCTGAGGCTACGCTCTGATTTGGCTTTGCTGTGTCTTAATCTTCAGCCTATTTTATGCTTCTGTTTGGATTAAGTGATGACCCAAAGATAGCAGATTGTTTTGGTCCACACTGACGACTCAATCTGATGTTTGAAGTGTTGCATAATGCTAGGGAAAAGGAAAAGTTTTCCAAATCTCCATAATGTACAAACTTATACGCACATATTGCAGAAACATGTTAGTTTGTTGTCTTTTGTTGGAGTGGGTTCTATTTCATCTCAATTTTTATCATTTCCCCCCCATCTATGCAGAGGTGATCTAGTGTTAAATACTTTAAGGTAATTAGGGAAAGAGTACGTTGTGAGTGTTCCCACCATTCAAAACATCACACCTGGCTTAGTAAGTACATCATCAGAAAACCACCCATAGTTATGTCCCGTGGCCTGTTGGAAGAACAAAATAACTGATCACACAAGAAAAAGTCCATTCGAATTGTTCCAGTTTTTTTAAAAAGTAGAAGGCCCCAGTGGCAAAGGGGAAAAATATTCCACATTAGGAGCGAAAAGGGCTAGATTGATTTGAATTGAACTTTTTGTTGTGTGATCAATAAAAAAGAAGAAGCAAATTCATCCATTCTTAAACCCTCAGCAATTCTTGCAGATTTGACTGTTGAGACACAGTATGAAATAGAAAGGTGTATGGAAATCATGGGTCACTGCAAAATGATTCAAATCAAGGGGAAGGAATTTTGGCCTTCTGGGTGATCCTAGCGAACTGGATTGAGACTTCACACACTTGAGGAGCCTCGCTCCTGCCTAAACTGTTTGAAGCTCTGGGTGATCCTAGCGAACTGGATTGAGATTTCACACACTTGAGGAGCCTAGACTGTTTGAAGTTAAGATGTCTGAAAGACTGCCTTCTTCCATAGAAACCTGATTGTATTATTGGAAGCCCTGTTATGCATCCTGCCTTCTAAAGCAGCTTGTTTGGTAGATTCTTAAGACAGGACCTTTCTTGTAGCATCAGCTTGATTCAGAAATTCCCTTTGGAGAGGCATGAGATAGGTTCCTTCCATGTTTGGCTTTAGGAGGGCAGTGAAGACAATATTGTTCAGTCGGCCTTTTTATATTTAAGGTTTGGTGCTGTTGGAGTCTCTTCCCTCATAGACTCCAATTCCATGCCTTACTTCCCAGTCTGGCCAGATTATTTGAAAGAGTTGTTCTGATGTCCAAACTGGGCAAACTGGGTATCAGAAGCCATAATTGAGCATGAAATTAGAATGGTAAAGCATAGATTGAACTGAGTTTCCTAACTGGTTTTGTGGTCTGTAGCCCTGTTGAAGCATTCAATCAAAAGTTTAAAGTAAACGTGTGAGGGTGCTACTGGTTACATCCCTCCCTGTTCTAGCTCAGCTTTAGTCTGTATGCAATTGTCTGTGCAGTTGTGAATCCAGATTTTTCAGTGCTTCCGCTCATAGAAATCCCCACATATAGAGGAGGCTGTCTCCTCTGGCAATCACTGTCCGCATAACAGTTAAGGAGCTCATTCCCTTCCTCGTAGGTTTACTTCAGCCCTTTTATTGAACACCTCAGTGAGGCTTCTGTTTAGCGGTACCCATAATTATTTCAATTTGAACATGGCAGCAAACAAGGAAAAGGAAAAGGAAGTGAGAATATACAAAGTGAAGGAGAAGTGAAGGAAAGAAAGCAGAGAAAGAAGAGAAGGAGATATGGCTGTTATTCGCTTTGCTGGGATTCTCTCTCCATCACCTGTTGCCTGGCAGCAAGTGTTCCATTACATGGGGTGGTGGGCAAGAAAGGAAAGGGAAGCAGGGCTAGCCCACCAGCTGAGCTGGGATGCCAACACCTTTTCGCCATTGCTCTCCTTGAATTGTTTCCCATTCCAGTTGGTTTTTAAGAACTTAGTGTTTCCGTCTGCCCAGTACTCCAAGCTCTGTGTAACTTTGTGTCATAGTTTGCTTCCTCCGCTCCCTATTTTGTTTCGTGTCTGCAGTATCTTTCTAGAGTGTAAGCCTGATGACAAGGAGGGACTGTGTTTATTGATGTATAAATTGTTTTGGGAGCCTCTGGGGGTAGAGAGAAATAGATAAAGAGTTCTTTAAATAAATAAAGAGAAGGAAGCAAGAGATTGATTAGCCCAAGGGTTAGAAAAGTCACCCTTCTGGACAGCAACTTCCAAAATTACTTGGTCATTCAGGAAGTTGCAATTCAAAAAAAGTATTTTTTTTTTCTAAGTTCTTCTTGAACCTCATGGTCATTCAATTTCACCTTGATGTCAGAATTTAACTTAAGTGTGAGTAGGTCCATGTGTGGATTGCAATCCTTCATTCCTTTCATTTGGAATTAAGGTACATTGGTTGCGTCCAGTCATGTATGCCTCTGTAGACCATTAGTGCTGGAAAGGGCTTCTGGGTGTTGCAGTCCAAGAACATCTGGGGACCCAAGATTGGGAGCCACTGATATCGTCACATTGGCAGAATCACAATCCTGCTAGCTTTAGAAGAACAGTGGTGCCCCGCATATCGACGTAAATCCGTTCCAGGATTAACATCGCTATCCGGATTCGTTGCTATGCGGGGGGGAACCCATAGGAGCACATTAACCTCCATTTAATGCATTCCTATTGGGGAAAAACTCACTGCTGTGTGAGGAATCCTCCATCCGGCCGCCATTTTCGCCACCCAGTAAGCGAGGGCAGGGCGCGAAAACGCAGCAGGCGGCCATTTTCTGCCCCTGGCGGCCAGTTTTGAATCGTGCCCGGTAAGCGAGGGCAGGGCGTGAAAATCCTGCGAGTGGCCATTTTCTGCACCTGGCAGCCATTTTTGAATCATCTATCAGCTGTTCTGAAAACATCGCAATGCGAAGATCGGTAAGCGAAATGCTTACCGATCATCGCAATGCGATATTTGGCTATTAAAAACATCTCAATGCGATCGCATTAGCGATCGCAAAAAACACGTTGCTATGCAGATTCGTCGTTAAACGGTGCGCTCGTTAAGCGAGGCACAACTGTAGTCTGAATGTAGATGGAATGGCATTTTTTCTTTCTTGGGCCAAGAAAGAAATTACATGGGCACAGTAAAAGCAAATTATTGCAAAGGTGTGTTGCTTGTTATGAAACTTCTGTTATGGGTACCTCATATTAGCATACCTCTAATTTGAAATAAGTCAGCTTCCCAAGGTTCTAGTACTTTTTTCATATTTTGTTTAAATCAAAGCTTGTCAGACTTACTTTTTTTTGGGGGGGGGACTTTAGCTCTCTGAATTTCACTGCCAGCATTGGCAGTGACTGTGCTGATTGGGGGATTCTGGGAGCTGGAGTGTAAAAGGGTAACTTTTCCAAGATCTGGTCTGATTATGGTTGGTGTATTGTTGTACTGCTTTGTGGTATGCTTTGTAAAATGAGCTTTAACCTGCATTTCTTATATACAGTATTGGTTAGAAAAGAGACCTTGGGGTTTATCAAATTACTGTACCTGATAAACGTAGCTGGGTCATTGAGCTAGCATTGTTTTGTTTCTGTTTCAGTGAGAATTTTATTCACACAGCTTTCACTAGGAAGTCTGACGTGGCACACTTTCGTTCCTTCCACTGAGCTGTGCAGGAACTTGTTTTCTTTGCTGAGAACACAGCTAGGTTATTAACTCTTACAGCTAAGATATTAACTCCTGCAATGTCTTTGAGCATCATGCTTTATACAACCAACAAAACTTGCAGGTGTTTTACTGTTATTAAGTAAGCCTTCTGAAATCACCAAGCACAAACTGTTGTGTTTTGTTCTTTCCATGGTGGGATGAAGGGAACGCTCATACATTCTGGGTGGGAGCTACCTGATGTTTGCAAGAGATGGTGATCGCATTATAGAATAGGGGATTGCTAATGTTTTGTGCCTGAAACTTGAATTACAAGTCTGGAAAATAGCAACAAATTAGTTCAACGTACAAAACTTTTGTTCTGTTTATTCAGTACAAAAAGAAAGATTAAACAAACATTTCAGCGATATGAAAAAGCTATTTTCAATGCAGACCAAATTTGCACTTTCCTAATTGAGAATAGCACTGATTACACAGTGTTTTTGTTTACAGTTTTAATGTTGCTGTGAATCTGGCCAAGATTTGTAGATATTCCCTCCCCCCATTTGTCCTTTTCTGTCAGCACAAACATGTATAAAAGCTACTTACATGTATACAAACACAGCAGAATGAAGGTGTAGTGGCACATTCACTTATTTTACGATTGTTATTACATTTGGTAATCATGGTGTTTCAGTGTGATTTTTTTCCCCACAAGAAATTGGATTCGTCATTCATTTCTTGCAAATTATATGGACCCCAGATTGTCAGTGTGGATTCCTTCCTAGCCTGTGGGAGATAATAGCAAGGCCTGTATGAGCTTTGCTACAGTTATATTACTCTAAATTAATATACAAATTGGTGGGCAAATAAATGAAGACTATTTAAGCACTGAAAGTTATACCTATAACTTTGCTGTAATTCATTCATGTGCTGTACTATACTGTTTTAGGGAAATTTCCACTCTGGATTTGTAGTTTGGCACTGCATAGCTGAAACATGAGTAGAGGTAGGATGGGGGTATGCACATCTCTTGACTGTTATCATAGTGGGAAGAATCCCATTGGTGATGTAGACTTGTGTGACAAAAATAATGTGATGGATTGTGTCACGTTGTGACATAAAATAGCTACTAATTAATGAGGTGCCTTTTGTCTTTCTGGAATCATGCCTGATTGCAGAATCAGGTGCTCATTCAGGAGTATACAGTATCCAACATCTTCTTAATATGCAGTCATTTATGACTGTGACTTGCATACTTTCCCTATGCAAGTGGAACTCTTTAAGAGTGACCCCTCTTGAACTCTATACTGGGAGAAGGATGGTACATAAATAAGTCCATAAGTGATACAACTAAATATCTATTGGCTGAAACAGTGTATTTTGGGTTTAATCTTCATGTCTATTCCCCTTGTGGTAACTTTATGAAATCCCTGAAGGCTAGGAGTCTAGATGCTTAGATAGCATTATGTGTTCATGGTGCTTTACAAAAGATAGTTATGATGGGCTCCTGTTCTGAGGAGCTTAAAGTCTGAAATTAACAAATAGCAGAAGAAGGGTGGGAATTGAAACGGATGGATAAGTATAGGAAGTATGTGTGGTTATTTCAGTAACATGTAGCTTGGCTGTATTTTTCAGTAAAGATAGGACTTTGGGGGTGAATTTAAAGAAATAAAGGTCATCATACAGAGATCGTGGGAGGTAGTTCTAGGCTTAGGGGTAGCAAGAGAAACTGGGTAGAGTCTTTGTGGGGAGCAAAGACCTTTGGAAAACTGTGGATGTTGGAACAGAATGAGTGAGCGTCAATAGATTGGAAGTGTTTGATATAATCACAGAGGTATAAAGAGGAGCAAAACTGTGAACTGATTATAAGGTAAGGACAAGAAGCTTGTGCAGGAGTTGGAGATGCACAGGAAGCAGGCAAACGGTTTTAAGGAGGAGACTCCCATGATCAGAGTGATGAGAGGTAAATAATTTTCACAGCTGAGCACTGAATGGAGTTGAATGGCAGAAGTGAGATAATAGAAACCCATAAGAGAGTACTAAGTGTTGGTACCTTTCTAACATAGACTTCAATGATTTTTTTGTAAATAGATGAACTTTTGAATAGATGAATTTTGCAGTAGTTTGGGAAAATGTAATCCTACATACAGTGTGGCTCCATGTGATGATCAGCAAGAGACTAGGGCTATCTTTCTAATGAATTTTAGGAAGCTATTGTGTTTTCAGTGGCTTATGTGAACTGGTTTTTTTGAAGAATGGAAAGTATGTGTGGGGAGGGATACATGCTTTTGGATCCTTCAATGTGAGAATTGCGTGCAAATTCTAGCAAATTCTAGAAGAACGCAAGCAAGAATTATCTCATTTTTGAAGTGTTCACTTAACAAACCTCAATTACAGGATTGTCTTTTTGTGTGTACGCCTTTATAGTACTTGTATATTGTTAAAGGAAAGGGATAGCTTTTGATTAAAAACATAAGGCTGACTTACTTTTCTGGGCTGTTCTGACAGGAAAATTGCAGTTCAGGGCAAGTCAGATATGCCTAATGGAAAGTGCATCTTATTGTCTGGAAAGCTGGAAGGTTAGATTTAATTATGTGGGTCCTCTTGCCCAGTTATTATCAAACTGGAAAGTCATCTGTTTCATCTGCAGGATGACAGAGAGAATTACATTGCAGGAGCACAAATGTGGTAAAATGATTGTCCATAGTCATATGAATGCCTGTATTTTTCCTGTGTGATGTTCTGGGTCAAGAAATGTGAACATCCTGCCAAACAAAACACTTGAAGGCTTTTTAGGGTTTTCCTGACAAGACATAATAGTGAACAGAATTAATATTATCCACTTATCTTAACTGAATTAAAAATACAAGTGGTGCGTCACTTGATGAGGATAATCCGTTCCAGCAAAATCACTGTAGAACGAAATTGTTGTCAAGCGAAAGTAAAAATCCCATTGAAATGCATTGAAAACAATGGGCGAAATACCTCAGCGTCCAGTGAAGATCCTCCATAGGGTAGCCATTTTCCAGTGCCTGTAATGCAAGGAATCCGTCCTAAAACACAGCGGGGAGCCATTTTGCACAGCGGGCGGCCATTTTGAAGACCGGACGATCAGCTGTAAAGATCATTGTTAAGTGAAAAATCGGTTCCCCAAGCAGGGAACCGATCCTTGCAAAGTGGTTTTTCCCTATTAAAACATTGTTTTGCGATCACAAAAGCGATTGCAAAAACTTCATTGTAAAGCGATTTCCTCGTCTAACGAGGTAATCGTCTAGTGGGGCTCCACTGTAAGTTTGAAAATTTCTGTGAGCTTTATCCAGACCAAAAAAATAGGGTGGTTCTCGTTCATGATAGAGCTAATTAAGAGAACATTGGCCATAAGGCTTCTAGTCATGATGTATGTCGAGAAACACATTTTGTTTCTCACCTGTACTTAGCATCATTTGAATAATGGCAATTTAATGATATTTATTGTTGTTTCTTTTGCTATAGGCATTTCTTTTTAAAAATTGCTAAAATGAATCAGCAAGGATATGTTGCAACACCTCCGTATTCTCAGTCCCAGCCAGGAATAGGAGGGTTTTCTTCTGGCTTTGGACAGCCTGCTTCTTCACCTTTGTATGGACACTATGGAGAATCAAGCCCATCATCCTCTGCACCTCCCTCAGGTACAATAACATTGGGGCAAAGGCTATACATGTATATACTGTATATAGTCTGTCATTACAACAGACACTGAAGAGGATCAGTGATTTCCCCTCATCTCTGTACCTTCCACATGCCCCCAAATATTCTTTGGAAGGTTCAGAATGAGGGCCTTCTAAAGCAGATTTGGGAAAAAGAGCAAATCAGGGATGAGAAGGGGAGGAGGTCCTGGTTTGGATGGAAATGCTCCTTCTTATAGAATTTTTCATGCAATCCAGGAAGCAGCCTGATATCTATACAGTACCACAGATCATTGATTTGTTTAACCTAGTCTTGTCAATTCTGAGTCAAACAACTTTTTGCGGATTCAAGCAGAACTTTTTTTTTAGTCCTACGTGGAGATGCTGGGGCTTGAACTTGGGGACTGTGGTGGGCCACTGAGCTCTCACCCCTCCCCAATACAACACTCTAAATTCATTGATGATTTGTTTCCCATCCAAATGCTAACCAGGCCTATTCCTGCTTAGCTTCTGAAATATGATGGGAATGGTACAGTATGTACAGGATGGTAATATGATTCTTGTTGTTTTTGTTCTTATATCATGGCTGGAGGAGAATTAGATTTTTAAAATCTATTTTTTCTTTGCCTTCAGCATTGGTTGTGTGTAATAATTTAATGTAACAATTCTCTGTTACCTTTTTTTTAACTTTTAGCAATGTTGAAAACAAATGTGCCTTTTGGGTCTGCTGCTCCCATTGGACCTCCACCTCATAACACTCACCAGTTTAACCAGATGACTCTCCAGAATGGGCCCAGCACTGCAACACAACAGTCTCACAGGTGATTTTTTTAAAGGAGAAATTACATACATTTTATACTAATCACTTTTAGAATGGAAATGTAATCTGCATAAATCACAGGAAAAATTTTTTAATGCATTATAAAAAGTTTTCCTATCTTATCTTATCCTATCCAGTTCAGTCCTGGAGTGAACTTTGTCTCCCTTATTTCTCCATAAAATCCAACATATGCTAGATATTCCACATAAGCCTTTCCCTCCCTGGTGAAACCAAATGGCTATCAGAGTTGATTGACTAACAGATCTTAAATGTTAACCATTTTATATACAAATGGGTCTTGTTCTTAACACATGTGAGTTCTCGGAGGATTGTTATAAATTATATCTTGAATTCAGCTGTGTACCCTCTTGTTAAGTACTAGCAAATGCATTCTGCTTCCCATAACTTGGAACAAGCCTTGATTTGATCTGCTTAGTTTGATCTTAAATGTTAACCATTTTATATACAAACAGGTCTTGTTCTTAACACATGTGAGTTCTCAGAGGACTTTTTATAAATTATGTCTTGAATTCAGCTGTGTACCTTCTTGTTAAGTACTAGCAAATGCATTCCGCTTCCCATAACTTGGAACAGTCCTTGGTTTGATCTGCTTAGTTTGATACACACACACACACACACACAGAGAGAGAGAGAGAGAGAGAGAGCACAGATTTCTGCTCCTAGAACTTGAGTGGTATGCCAAGGTTATCCATCCCTACCTGAACAAATTAAATCCCCTCCCAACCTAGAAGTGCTCACCTTCTTCTCATTTGATTTCTTTCTAAACAAAATGACTGTTCCCAGTTATTTCTAGAAAACAAAAGCTAAAACAAACAAAAACCAATAGCCCCTGACAAGGTTCATAAAAATATATGGTTAGGCACCAATCAGAAGGAGGCTGTCCCATTCCTGCCTGTCCCTTGGTTCAATGGTTTCTAAACAAAATGACTGTTCCCAGTTATTTCTAGAAAACAAAAGCTAAAACAAACAAAAACCAATAGCCCCTGACAAGGTTCATGAAAATATATGGTTAGGCATCAGTCAGGAGGAGGCTGTCACATTCCCGCCTGTGGTTGTTTCACCAAGCAAAGGCACAAGCTACGTGTCGTTCGGCTGCCACCAGTTCACTATTAATGACAGAGGTCCAGACAATGTATCATTTAAGAACCAAGTAGAAATTGTTTATTGTTACAGGTGATAAAAGTCCAGTCAATATCATTAACTCTCAACTAAACAACCTTCTTTCTCCACTCTCAACCGCCTATTCCCCTTTCTCACTACCCTCTATTCTTCACCCCCACTTAACTCTGCCCCCACCAACTCCTATTGGTGCATGCAAATTTAAACATAAATATTGATAAGCAGGGTGAACGCTACACGGGCTACAGTGAGCAAATCAGAATGCATGAACATGGGCTTGACCGTGAGCATTTGTTTGTTTCTGTCCTAAAAATGGATGATTACCCACACTAGATTTCCAATAGATGTGGTTTACCACCCAAATCTAGCTTATAGTGCTCATCAACGATTATTCATTTGGGGACATCAAAAAAGGAATCAAGTTTCTTTAACAATATGGTCTCCTACAAGGTTGAGCTTTGGCTGTTGATGTGGCTGCAGTTACCAGTACTTGGATTATGGCTTCACATAGAAAATCCTAGCTTCACTTGGCTGAAAGTCCTCTAAGTCTATAATATTTGTGCAGCCGTTGTATTTGTTTGTTTGTTTGTTTGTTTGTTTGTTTGTTTGTTTGTTTGATTGATTGATTGATTGATTGATTGATTTCTATCCGGCCCTTTTAGACAAAGTCTACTCCGGGTGGGTTCCATTAAACATTGTAAACTAAAACAGTTAAAAACAATTCAAAACAATAGTGATTGTTTGCTTAGTAATGCTCAAGATGGGAAAATAGAAAATTATAATAAAAATAAAGTCAAGTACGTATTGACAGGAGGGAAGGCCTGCTGTAATAAAAATAAAGTCAAGTATTGACAGGAGGGAAGGCCTGCCTAAAGAGCCAAGTTTTTATTTGGATAGAACGCAACATTTCCTTTCAGAAAAGAGAAGTATTTTTCTTAGTGCTACATTATGGAATATCTATTAAGAAATGCCTGCATAAATCAGATTAATCAAAGGGAAATGCTTGATTCTTTCATTCCTGGATCAAGCAATTATTTAGATTAGAGCTCAAGACATAATTTGATCCATATGCTTTATGCAGCCATAATGTGGAGCATATTCCATGCTCAGAGATCCGTAACCTTTGACCTCCATGCCTAGTCTAAAAGATGAAACTAGAAGATGCATGAGCCCAAGAGATTAATCCTGTTTCAGTTTTTGTTTTTCGGTTCCAGCATCTCAATGTGACAGGCTGGAATTAGTAATGCTGTGTTTTATACAAATTGCAGCTTATTAATGTCCAAGTTTGTCTCTCAATGTATATATAATGTAATTATGTATATCTTAGTTTCTTTGTGTTGAGAAATTACTGTTGAATAAGGACAAACTGAGTGTGGCTGTGCTTAAATAAGAGTTGTATGTGAGAGAGTGAGAGAGAGAAAGAGAGAAAAACATGCTTTGGTTTTAATTTTGAATTAATGTTAACATTTAAAAAACAACTAATAAAGAATATTCAGAAGGAAATCTGTGTTAGTCTGTTGTAGCAAAAATGACATTGTGGCACCATAAGACTAATGGGTTTTATTTGGTATAAGTTTTCATGGACTTCAGGGTCCTTTTGTTTCAAATACAAAGCAAATAATATGTATTGGGTTGTCTTATCCTGATTGCTTCTTTCATTGGCGGAATGTATTTGACAAAAACCCCTTCACGGATTGCTGCCTTGTTGTGGTGAAGGGGCTTGAGTAATTCAGAAAAGCCATGGGCTATGCCGTGCAGGGCCACCCAAGATGGACAGGTCATAGTGGAGAGTTCTGACTAAACGCAACCCACCTGGAGCAGGAACTGGCAAGCTGCTCTAGTATCTTTGCCAAGAAAACTCCATGGACAGAAACAAAAGGCTAAAAGATATGATGCTGGAAGATGAGCCCC